GGGACGGCGAGGGCGGGCTCGGGCGGTGGCGGTGAGGTTGAGGCCGGCCTCGGGCGGCGGCGGTGAGGGCAGGCTCGGGCTCGGGCGGCGCGATCGACGGCGGCGACAGAGGAGTTGGGGAGATCGGGGGGAAGGGGGAATGGAGGACTTAGCAAAATTTTGAGCTCGCAGGTGGTTAAGTCGAACTAGCAGTAGCGCTGTTTCGGAAACGCGCTATAGCTAAGTTAGCTATAGCGCATTTTAGTGAAACACGCTACAGCTATAGGAAGCAGTTATTTCTTTTGTTTATCCTTACATTTTGTTTTTTTTTCATTTCTCTGTTTCCTACTTCTTTCATTTTCATTTACTTTTCTATTTTTTTCATTTTTCTTTTCTTTCTTAGCAGTAGCGCTCTACGCAGAAAACACGCTGCAACAACGACCATAGTGGTAGCGCGCTTTACGCGAAATAGCTACTATTATTCCTAGCCTACCACCAACACAATGGGAATTATAGTGGTAGCGTTTTTTGCTGCACACGCGCTACTGCTATAGTCGTAGCTATAGCACGCTTTTCTAGAACGCGCTACTACAGAGTAGCAGTAGTGCCCTATTTTAACCAGCGCTACTGCTATACCTCTGTGTATAGGCTTTTCCCTATTAGTGGTCGATGGTGAGGACGCAGGGGAAGCTTGCGCGGGTGGGGCGGGATGGGAAGATGCATTGCGGGATGGTGAGGAGCGCGACGCGTGGGGGCGGCGGTAACGTGAGGGAGAAGTCAGCGACGCCCGGGCCCGGCGGGAGGGCCGCGGCGGCAAAGAGCACCCGCGGCACGCTGCCCAGGATGACCCACGCCGGCGTGGGCGAGGCGGCTGACGCTATCTCGGCTAGGCTACCTCGATGCGGTGGCGGTGGTTCGTGCCCGGTGTATGTTGGTGTTGAGGTGGGCAGTGGTGGTGAGGTGGCATGCCCCGGTAGGCGACTGGGGTAGGGTTTTACGGTGGCGTTCGGGCCAGGCGACAGGAGGCAGGATCGTGCTGAACCGGTGAGACGGCCAAGCTAGCGGCACGCGTGGCCTTTGGAACGTGCAGTGCACCTGGTGCCGATCGACTGTTGGACTCCAGCATAAAAAGTAGGGAGGCTTTTTTTTAGGGAAAGCAGAGCTTTATAAATTAACGGTGCTCGGGCATATCGCCTGAGACACAAACTGCCACTTGGGGCGGTACATCAGAGTTCCAGCTAATGCTGTTATTGGGTAAACACAAGCGTCCTATAACTGCTAATTCATGGGCTACAGAGTTTGCTTCTCTTTTACAATGTTGGACTCTTTGTTTGGAGAACCACATTTTGAGCTGGAACTTGATATCCTCAATGACAGCGGCATATGGTGAAGAGTCCACCTTCCGTAGATCAAGAGCATCCACAAGCAGCTGGCAATCAGTTTCAAAAACCACTCTGATGGCTCCCAGCTCCGTTACTAATGCCACTGCTATTGACATGACACTCGCCTCTGCACCAAACGCATCGTACACATTTTCATTGCGTCCCGCCTGTGCAGCTAACACCTCCCCAGCAGCGTCTCGGACTACAACTCCCCATCCTCCATGGGATTGCCCCGGGATTAGCGAGCCATCAAAGTTGACCTTCACTGTATCCTCCTCAGGTGGCTGCCATTTTGCTTTGCCTGGTAACTTCCTTTTGGTAGTGAAGTACTCTAGGTATTCCATGACATTGCACTGTGTACGCCGCACCACTTCGGAAACTTGCAACGGTAGTTGTCCTTCCCGTATTTTATTTCTACTAGCAAAAGTGCCCGTGCGTTGCAACGGGTGAACAACAAAAAAAAATCAGCAAATTTATAGACCCAAAATAAAATAATTCGAGTTCACGCAAATTGCACCAATATGTCATCAGTTTTACAGATTGATAATTAAGAATAAATGATGCAAGAGAGCAAAGAAAATGAGACATCAAATTTATGACAAAAAAGAAATAGATCAAAGATTTTTTAATGATGTCGGTAGTCAATCCCCCTAGGGGGTGTGCGTTGCAACGGGAGACACACAAAATACATGCTAGCCAAATAAGTATGACTTAATATCCAGACATATGAGTGTTCTCTATTTTAACACGGTGGCTCACCATGTTGCCACATATCTTTCTTCTCACTCTCGTTGATGATGAACACAATGTTCACGTGATCGTAATGCATTCGACGTGGTAAATCCCTAGGCAATGAGCTTGTCACTGCACGAAACACTTGCCATTGTCTTGCGCAAGGGAATATTTAAATCTTTAAAAACAAATCTCACCGACCACGAACTACTCTCAATGCATAGACATATAAAGACTTTCCAAAATCTAATCAAATCCTAGACATAAAATACTTCTGAATCGGCGAACAGTTTTTTGTATCGACAAACATCTTTTTGAAATTAGGACATCTTTAAAAAATCACGAACATTTGTTTTGTTTAGAG